GGCACCAATCTGTCCTTGAGGTACTTCTCAAAGGTGGTCATATCCCACCAAATAGACAGCTTCTTTTCCATTATATTCCCTAATTTCCTATACATGGTGTCCAAATCATTGATGGGGGCATGTTCAGTATGGTTTAAAAATCTCTTCTACGTTAATATTTCTATTTTCAACAAACCGAAAAAAAAAATCTCCATACTAGCTGCAAAAGGTAGAATGGTAAATAATATAAAAAATAGGAAAAAATCCTCCTGCGCTTAATATGGATGCGTCCCTATTCTACAGCTGCTGTCACTCTGCCTCAACCAGTAGATCATAAATACCATATACCAAAATAGTGAAGCGCTAATAAATAGCTAAAAAAATACCCACGAACATGTCTCAAATACCATCTAAACCTATACTCAATCCCTTAAAGTGATAAAAGTATAATATAAATGAGTCTAATTGGTGAAAGCTACGATACATAAATATCTCATACATAAATACCCTAATTACCTCATTAATTAATCCGTGATAAAATGCCAAATGTTAAATAAATAATCCTTGGATAAATCAGTGATATGAAATCAATAATCATAATTCCAAAAAATAAAAAAATGTACCTATCCACAATACATAGTGACAATCCTATAAATTGAGATAAACTGTGATTTCTTCATCAAATGAATACGTGATTCATAAATTATGTGATATACAAAATAACAGAGTAAAATTAATTGGTCTCTCCCCAGACCCTGCATTCACTATATCCGGTCTCCCAGACCCTGCATTCTCTACATCCGGTCTCCCCGGACCCTGCATTCACTATATCCGGTCTCCCCGGACCCTGCATTCACTATATCAGGTCTCCCCGGACCCCGCATTCACTATATCCGGTCTCCCCAGACCCTGCATTCACTATATCTGGCCTCCCCGGACCCTGCATTCACTATATCTGGTCTCCCCTGACCCTGCATTCACTATTTTCTGGTCTCCCCAGACCCTGCATTCCCTATACCTGGTCTCCCTGGACCCCGCATTCACTATATCCAGTCTCCCCGGACCCCGCATTCACTATATCCAGTCTCCCCGGACCCCGCATCCACTATATCCGGTCTCCCCGCACCCTGAATTCACTATATCTGCTCTCCCCAGACCCTGCATTCACTATATCCAGTCTCCCCGGACCCCGCATCCACTATATCCGGTCTCCCCGCAGCCTGAATTTACTATATCTGCTCTCCCCAGACCCTGCATTCACTATATCTGGTCTCCCCGGACCCTGCATTCACTATATCTGGTCTCCCAAGACCCTGCATTCACTATATCTGGTCTCCCCAGACCCTGCATTCACTATATCTGGTCTCCCCGGACCCTGCATTCCCTATATCTGGTCTCCCCGGACCCTGCATTCACTATATCTGGTCTCCCCAGACCCTGCATTCACTATATCTGGTCTCCCCGGACCCTGCATTCACTATACCTGGTCTCCCAGGACCCTGCATTCACTATATCCGGTCTCCCCGGACCCTGCATTCACTATATCTGGTCTCCCCGGACCCTGCATTCCCTATATCTGGTCTCCCCGGACCCTGCATTCACTATACCTGGTCTCCCAGGACCCTGCATCCACTATATCCGGTCTCCCCGGACCCTGCATTCACTATATCTGGTCTCTCCCCCAGACCCTGCATTCCCTATATCTGGTCTCCCCGGACCCTGCATTCACTATATCCAGTGTCCCCAGACCCTGTATTCACTATATCTGGTCTCCCTGGACCCTGCATTCACTATATCTGGTCTCCCACAGTACACAGAACATGGAAATGCATTTTTTTTTAGTAAATATAAACTGCTAAATACCTTTTCTCAGCAGCAGTATATAGCAGTCTTGTGACTTCTATCAGTGTCCAGCTGAGCACTGGTTAAAGCCTGTAGGAGGAGTTTTCATTCTCCTCTGACTGTCCTATGAGGCTGCATAACCCCTGATCCTCTGTCTGGACAGCGCTGATTGGCCCTGTGCTAATCCCATGTACCTCCCAAAGATGTTTATCAGTTGGTGACTTCTTCGCACTGTGCGCTTCAGCATGCGTTGACCCCGCTCTGTCATGTGACGTGGCCTACCACTTGGTGGCTGAGTTGCTGTTGTTCCCAGTTGCTTCCACTTAGTTAAAATACCACTAACAGTTGAGCGTGGAATATTTAGTAGCCAGGAAATGTCACGGATGGACTTATTGTACAGGTGACAACCTATCACGGGACCACGCTTGGAGTCACTGAGCTCCTGAGAGCGACCCATTCTTTCACAAATGGTTGTAGAAGCAGTCTGCATGCCTAGGTGATGATTTTATACACCTGTGGCCATGGAGGTGATTGGAACACCTGAATCCAATGACTTGGAGGGCAGGGCCAATACTTTTGGCAATATATTGTATATGCAGAACTCTCTTTTTTTTCTTTTTAAATTCTGCATAGTGAGGGAGAGTTATAATTAGGGTTGCATTGATACTTTTTTTTTTTTTTTTTTTATCGGTGAATATCGACAGTTGTGCTCAAGTACTCGCCGATACCTTTGCAGTGCGATTTCAGCCATTCATTTTCCGCAGGGAAACCACGTGATTCAGTCAGGAATCGCACCGCATTCCTGTTCAAATCACGTGATTCTTTGCGGTTTGACTTGAGCCCATTCATTTTATATGGGCTCAATATGCACCTCCAAGATATCGGTTTCAGATATCGGAGCATTTGTACGAGTCCAAAATGGGTGAATATCCTTAAAGTACTCATACAAATGCTTAGTATCAGCACCGGTATCGGTGCAACCCTAGTTATCACCCCTGTCAGTTTTGTTTTCTTACATTTGTGTCCCTGTGGGGAGATTTCCCTTCATTTCCTGTCCCATAGCCAAAGCAGGAAGTGAGAGGAAATCCCTCAAAAGTGAGAAAATCACTAGAACGAGTGTCCCCATTGAAAGATTTCCCCTATTACTGTTCTGGTGACAAACCAAAATTTGGGATTTTTTTTTTCACTTTCAGTAATAAAGGTAAACAGGACAAATAGAAAGGGCAACTCTCCCTATAGGGGCACAGACAGCAATAAAAACTGACAGGAGTTATAATCCCTCTGCGCTCGATACAAAACTAGAAAATGTTTTACATTCAGTTATAATTTAAAGTGTTACTAAACCCACAGCCGTAAAATAAGTCTGTATATACAGTAAAGCATGCTTGTTTTATACTCACTGTGGAACCTAAGGGGTTAATCCTCTGCATTGAGTAAAAAAAAAGCTGTTTGATCCTGTCTTCTCTAATCCTCCCCTTATACTGTCCCCAATCTATCTCCAGAGAGCAGAGCCTCGGGAGGCAAGCTGCACATGCTCAGTTTTGTGTATTGCTAGAGAGTTTTTTTTTTTTTTTTCTTTGGGAGAGAGCATGTGATCAGCACAGGGCCAATCAGTATTGCCCAGAGGTCATGGGTCATGAAGCTTCCTAGGACAGTCAAAACAGAATGAAAACTCCTCCTACAAGCTGCAACCAGTGCTTTGCTGGACACTGATAGAAGTCACAAGACTGCTATATACTGCTGCTGAGAAAAGGTATTTAGCAGTTTATATTTACTGAAATCATTTGCATTTCCATGTTGTGTGTACCGTGGGAGACCAGATATAGTGAATGCAAGGTCCGGGGAGACCAGATGTAGTGAATGCAGGGTCCGGGGAGACCAGATAAAGTGAATGCAGGGTCCAGGGAGACCATATATAGTGAATGCAGGGTCCTGGGAGACCAGATATAGTGAATGCAGGGTCCGGGGAGACCAGATATAGTGAATGCAGGGTCTGGGGAGACCGGATATAGTGAATGCAGGGTCCTGGATATAGTGAACTTAGGGTCCGGGGAGACCGGATATACTGAACGCAGATATAGTGACTGCAGGGTCCGGGGAGACCAGATATAATGAGTGCAGGGTCCAGGGAGACCGGATATAGTGAATGCAGGGTCCAGGGAGACCGGATATAGTGAATGCAGGGTCCGGGGGAGAGCGGATATAGTGAATGCAGGGTCCGGGGAGACCGGATATAGTGAATGCAGGGTCCGGGGAGACCGGATATAGTGAATGCAGGGTCCTGGGAGACCAGATATAGTGAATGCAGGGTCCGGGGAGACCGGATATAGTGAATGCAGGGTCCTGGATATAGTGAACTTAGGGTCCAGGGAGACCGGATATAGTGAATGCAGGGTCCGGGGGGAGAGCGAATATACTGAACGCAGAGTCCGGGGAGACCGTATATAGTGAACGAAGGGTCCGGGGGGACCAGATATAGTGAACGCAGGGTCCAGGGGGACCAGATATAGTGAACGCAGGGTCCGGGGGGACCGGATATAGTGAATGCAGGGTCCGGGGAGACCGGATATAGTGAACGCAGGGTCCGGGGAGACCGGATATAGTGAACGCAGGGTCCGGGGGGAGAGCGGATATAGTGAACGCAGGGTCCGGGGAGAGCGGATATAGTGAACGCAGGGTCCGGGGAGAGCGGATATAGTGAATGCAGGGTTCGGGGAGACCGGATATTGTGAATGCAGGGTCTGGGGTTTACGAACACTTCAACAGGGACGACTCTACAGCAGGGGCAGACTGACCATTTGGAAACTCGGGCACAGCCTGAGGGCCCGGGGTCAGTAAGGGGCCCCATGAGATGCCCCTGGTACCTTTTTCATAGGCTTTTTTGAGTTTGGGCAAGGACACAGGAGCCCCATGATCCCCTATTGCCCGGGGGCCCCATAAGTTGTCAGTCCGCCCCTGCTCTACAGTGTTATGCTAGAACAATGTGTGGTACAATAAAGTTTGTTGAGGGAAAAAAAAAAAAAAGCATCCTGCACCCGGAAGTGCTGAGCTGTCGCTCTCTGAAGCCGGTTCGCCTCCTCCCGGAAGAGACGTGGCGTGTCCGGCGGAGTCCGCGCCGCTCAGCGATGTGATTGGCCGGGAGGAGCAGCATTGGTGTGCAGCCAGTCCGGGGGAAGAGGATGAGCAGGGGAAAGCGGGCTGGGAGTGGTGCTCCGCTCTTGGTCACCCTGTGCGGGCTGCTCCCGCTGTGCTATGGAGGGAGGACTCTGCCGGCCCTCAGCGATGACATCCCATTCCGACTCAACTGGCCGGGACCGGACTTCTCGCTGGTCAGTCTGCTGGGGTTAGGGTCACATGACACAGGGTCTGTATGGGGTCTTGGTTTGGGGTGGGGAGAAATCACGTGACACCGGAATTTGGGGGTGCAGCACTAATCTCTGCATGGACATTTCCGGTTCTGCATGTGTGCCCTGGAAATGCCTCCCAGGAATACTCTTGGCTATAAAGAAGCGCTGAGCTCAGACTTGTCCGCCATAGTGTGCGCCACTTTTAGGGGGCTGAGTGCTGGCGTTTCCAGGCTACGCGGCGGAGGAGCTCTCCGGCGTATTGGAGGAATGGTGAACCGAGTGCCGTCATAGAACGGAGAATAAAAATGTTAAATTGCCATTGCAGCCATATCTCCCATTTATTTCCACCCAGTCATCCCACCAATCCAACCTCTCCTTGTCCAATCAGAACGCTTTATATCCATGAAAAGAAATACAAGGCGATATGTGAATGGAGCAGTGCTGAGTGCGTGAACGCCTGTGATGGCGGTGATCGGCCGGGTCATGTGCCGAATTGCTTCCCACGGGGAGGGGGGGTGTTCTATGTTTAATGGATACAAGGAGTTTTCTGATTGGATGAGTAGCTGGGAAGTCACGCTGTAATCACCAGCATGTCCAATCAGAGAAAAGAATACCAGGCACTCCATGAATGGTGGCAGCGCTGAGCGGGTGGTTACTGTGCACAGAGGAAGTAATTTGGCACAGGCCCAGAAAATAGCCGTGATCAGCGCCAGCTACTAGGGATTGGCAGTTCAAGTCATGCAGACTTCCATTGTGCCAAGCTGGACTTATAGAACTATGAATGTCATACAGATTGTCCCTGGAGGTCAGCTTTACAATGACTTCAGGGGGTCATCCCAGCAAACCTCCATCACAGAAAGGAGGCATATCCACCACTATATAGATAACCCACCACTGACCACCAATCAGGGTCATTGAGAGAATTTTCTGCTTTCAGGTGTGACGGGGGTCACTTTGGGTGGGGGGCCCATGGAACCCAGCTCAATTTGGAGAGGTGGGGAGTCCCCTGTCTTAGCTCCCCATATCCCTATTATGTGTAAGTCACCCTGTGCCTGTTAAGGGTACAGGGTGATCTGTCCTAATATTGGGGTGGGGGGTTGTTGATTGTTTAATGCCATGTGGTTGCATCCCATTGTTCTATTGTGTGTCTCTTGTTGCTAAGTGTAGATTGCCCCACCCTGTGTCATTATGCAGGGAGGGGGGATTGCCCTCTGAGTGTGTAAAAAGCCAGTTCGAGTTTCAAATAGAGTTCCGTGCTCAGACAGACGGGTGTCGTCTAGTCTTGTATGGTCTGCTGTAATGTCTGTGGTCGGTGTTCGGACAGGGAAGCGGGAGGCTAACGGAAGTACCCAAGTGCAGTCTGGGGTCGCTTCCGTTACATCAGAGAACCTTTCTAAAATTCACTAGGTAGTCAGTGGGAAGAATGCCCCTTACATTGGTGCTCAGTGGGGTGGAATGCCCCTTGCATTGGTGCTCAGTGGGGTGGAATGCCCCTTGCATTGGTGCTCAGTGGGGTGGAATGCCCCTTGCATTGGTGCTCAGTGGGGTGGAATGCCCCTTGCATTGGTGCTCAGTGGGGTGGAATGCCCCTTGCATTGGTGCTCAGTGGGGTGGAATGCCCCTTGCATTGGTGCTCAGTGGGGTGGAATGCCCCTTGCATTGGTGCTCAGTGGGGTGGAATGCCCCTTGCATTGGTGCTCAGTGGGGTGGAATGCCCCTTGCATTGGGTGGGAAGAAAGCTTTGAACTTCTAGATGCCTTCCCAGAGCCCCAGTAGGAAATTAAAGTGTTGGGCATCAAATTTGGTCCTGGTGACTATGGTCATCAAAATTTCGAAAGCAGGTTGGTGGATGCCAAAGTAGTATGCTGGAAGTAATGGAGGCTTTCCTTGAGGGAAAGGGTTGACTTTATCAAAATTTAGCTGATCCCGATCTTTTTATAGGTCAGCTTCATCTGTATCTTGCCGGGATCTCTCTATGCAAGGGTCTACAGCTGTTTTTTTTTTTCAATTGATATGGGGAAATAGGCTGAACCTGATCAAACGCAATGTAACTTACCTGTCCAGGTGGGAGTGTGGCCTAAGAATGGTCAATCAGATAGTTTACTTTTCTTTGCAATTTGTAAAGTACAATCTTGGTAATATGTTAGCAGAGACCCCGCCTGGATGGGTGGGCATGTTTCATTCTTGGTTTAAGCCTTTTCTTGCGTTACTGGGAAGATGGCAGGCCAGTGAAAAGTCTGAGAGTCCAACATGGCAAGCTCCCGGCTTATGTTACCCCGTGTCTGACAATACTTCAGCAGTGGCAAGTGACAGGAAGCTTATGGAGGAGAGGATTTTGGCTTCTGCTTTTCAGTGTGTCGCTGGCCTTAAAGGATTGACTTGGCTCTGTAATGAGGGAGGGGTTGTGTTTAATTCAGAGAGAATCCCTTTGAAGTTCAGGGATCAATCCTAGCTCACTTTCCATGGAGGGCTCTATGTGGGAGGGAACCTGAAGCACCTCCCTGTGGATGGTTGGGATTGTCCTAGAGCAGAATGTGTTGGTAAAGTGGCATCTATGGACCACTTCCTGCTCCAATGTCCCTTTTAACATAGATGTGTATAAAAGGGTGGGGAGGGTTCTAGGCATCTTCTTTCTCTATCGCACGAGTTCTGTGGAGTGGGTGTATGGGGCATTCCTGACTTACTAAGATTTTGATTTGGAAACTCTGTTTCTAGTTAGTATAGTTGTTAGTTACTTCACATGGAATGCGCGGTGTCAGATTACCCTGCGGAAGAAAGTTCTCCCTTGAGATGGTGGTGCACGATATTCTGGATGAGGTTTTGAAGATTCGGGTTCTTGAGAACGGCAAGGAGCCTCAAGCGGCCTGGATAAGGACATGAATATCAGACCTGCCTATGGTGAACTGTCTATCTCTGGGTGAGGGGCTCTTTTCTTATGCTGTTCTTTTCATTCCCTTTGATTTTGTTGGTTAAGATCTTCTTTTTGAAGAAGGGATGCATGCATAATGGGGGCGGGGTTGTTTCTTGACGGTTTGATGTCTGATGTAGTGATGCGAGTCTTGGTAAGATTTATTTCCCCCAGTAATGACCAGTTCATTTATGAGAGTTTTGCTATAAAGCCATCTTTTGTTTGCCAGCAGATTTGCTATATTTATTTTCTTTTTTTTTGTGTATATAATTATGTATATTCTGTATATGGATTTTATGTTTGATTGCAAGACTTTTAATAAAAAAAATAAATGCTCCTTACATTGGTGGTCAGTGGGAAGAATGCTCCTTACCTTGATGGTCAGTGGGAAGAATGCTCCCTACATTGGGGGTCAGTGGGAAGAATGCTCCCTACATTGGCTGTCAGATGAAAGAATGCTCCCTAAGTTGGGGGTCACTGGGAAGAATGCTCCCTACGTTGGGGGTCACTGGGAAGAATGCTCCCTACGTTGGGGGTCACTGGGAAGAATGCTCCCTACGTTGGGGGTCACTGGGAAGAATGCTCCCTACGTTGGGGGTCACTGGGAAGAATGCTCCCTACGTTGGGGGTCACTGGGAAGAATGCTCCCTACGTTGGGGGTCACTGGGAAGAATGCTCCCTACGTTGGGGGTCACTGGGAAGAATGCTCCCTACGTTGGGGGTCACTGGGAAGAATGCTCCCTACGTTGGGGGTCACTGGGAAGAATGCTCCCTACGTTGGGGGTCACTGGGAAGAATGCTCCCTACGTTGGGGGTCACTGGGAAGAATGCTCCCTACGTTGGGGGTCAGTGGGAAGAATGCTCCCTACGTTGGGGGTCAGTGGGAAACAATGCTCCCTACGTTGGGGGTCAGTGGGAAACAATGCTCCCTACGTTGTGGGGTCAGCGGGAAGGATTATGTAATGCAACTTACTTTGCCAAGTGTTTTGGTTCTGGGACTATGGAGGCACCATTATGTGGCATGCCAATCATCCACAGCTCAAGAAACCCCTGGAAACCTCTGGAGGAACCCTGATTGATAATGGCTGACTTAGATGCACCAGCTAGGCTATGTGTTGTACAACAGTAGTCAGGGATTATAGACCGGTACAGGTTAAATTATTTTGTATGTGCATAGTAACATTGAAGCATGAGATACAAAACTACAAAGGACGGATTAGATACGAAGTACAGTAATAAAACAACTAAATCCGTCAACATGACAAATTTGAGGCCCAAATGCCCCCCAACATGTTGAGGTCCTTTGTCAAGGAGGTCCTTCTTGACAAACGGGACTTAATCACCCCCAAAACCGTAGATGTTTGGGCTAAAATGTTGTCACGCTGTCTGACATTTATTATTCCAGCCATGACCCTCGGTATGTTTTATTACTGTACTTTGTATCTAATTTGTTCTTTGCAGCCATTTTGTATCTCATGCTTCACTGATACTATGTACACGTATGATCCTTTGTATATGTTTTGTAATCCCTGACTACTGTCATACAAAAAACAACATATTTCGTACATCTAAATTGTAGTGCATGTTGTAACTTTAAGCTACAATCAGATACACCTGTTAACCACTTAAGTCCCAGGCTTTGTTTTATAATGACTCTTGTGCTGAGTCAGCAGAGACAGGGAGCGCAGGAAGTTTTCAACTCTCAAGATTTCTGTGCGCATCATCAGTGTTTTTTGCACTTATTGAAAAGCTATAACTAGGGATGCATGGATATATTGGCCACCGAAAATTATAATAGGGTTACAAGTGTACAATCCAAACGCACAGGTTCCCGCATTAAAAATGGCGGTGTGTATAAGTGGGTGTTGCAGCGACCGTCGGCTGGAACCGAACAGAATCAGCAAGGGAGAATGTCACCAGCACACCGAGGATCACCAATATGGTTCCAAAGGTTTTAATGGACGATCGCATAGTTACAGCAAGAAAATGTTTTAGAGTCTCGCAGGACCCCTTCATCAGGCATGTGACAAAGCCTTTGTCACATGCCTGATGAAGGGGTCCTGTGAGACTCCGA